TTATGTTCATTTGAATGTTAGATATTGGCCTGCTCTAATGTTAACCACGTGGTATTAAAACAGGAACAAGACTAATATTTCAACCAAATTATGCGGTGCATCAAGAAATTAAAGATCCATTATTATTGCCATATTTTGCAAGCAAGATATATTATTCTGTGAAATTGAAAAGTTTACTTTGGCATGTTAGTAATAATTAAATCCCTTGAAAAGACATCCTCACTCCAAAAATCTCATCGATTCCTATTGTAAGTGAATAATAGGAATCCACTTAGAATGGAATAATTAGACTAAAAACCCAACCCTACCTTAAAAATTCTGAATCAATTTAAATTCTGATCCCACTTACGTACGATATATGTACTAAGCATGTTTGGTAATCCAATTAGGTTTCTTCTAGATTTTAGTGGTGGATCGTCCATGACCAAATATAGAAATCACTACCATGTTCTGCAGCTATAATGTGTTTTCATTGAATTTACTGTATTTTCAATCTTCAGCCAACTAACATACATCCCTTCACCAAAACTTCAATACTGTATTCATTTTACATTTCATAATTTACGGAATAGGTGGACCATGTGTTTCTTCATCATAACTTATGCATGGGTGAATTGTTTGTTTTCATTTATAAACCTTTCATTAATGATATTATTTTTATATTCAAAATTATTTATTTCTATATTAACGTAAAAAAAGGTCCTGTGGACGAATAATTACAGCTATTTGTGATGCTAATTGTCACGTGCTATTACTTATAAAAATCATTTGATTTTTATAAGTAATAGCATGTGACAATTAGCATCACATGGTTGCGTCACCCATCATTAATTTCTATGTGGATTTATCTTAGACAAAGGTAATAACTCATCAAATTTAGAAAAGTTTACTGTAATAACAATTAAACTTTATTTATTCATATGAGTTTCTGAAAAGGTTGTAATATAGTCATCCATTCCAATATTTGTCTTAAAACACTATCCAGCTTGATCAAATTTCTCTCTAATTCCAATAATTTGCGTCTTAAGATCATTAACTTCCCATAGTTGTGCTAAAGGATGCTTCTAAGCATGACTAAAATAACTCTGCAATGGTAATAATAAAATTATAAAGAAGTATATATTTTCACAAAAGTTTAATAATAATGATAATATATTAACGCTGATAAAAGTGAATTTTGTATGATGGTACTTAACACCAGATCCGTACGTACGGTATGGGGTGTAAAATATTCCTATTTTTAAATCTGTACAATACAATACAATACAATACAAGATTGATCATTCAAAATTTTAGGCTGATCGGAAATTCCGATATTTGAAGCTTTGTGCACTGTATACAACCATCAGTTTTATTATATAATGCAATTTCGTTACCATAAGATGGTATAACAAGAATAAAATATGAGCAAATCTCCTTTATTAAACGATACACTTTATCGCAAATAATGATTAGATAAATCGGTAGATTTTGGTTACAAAATTTTGGCATTACAAAGCCATATAAAGTTAATTAATTGTTTCTCATAACCCGGCCGGGTCAGCTTTTGTAAATTTTCGATATAAAATTTTACAGCTGTTTTCATAATTCCTGGAACACCTGATAAAAATTAGCCAAATGATTTTTCGGCCGATCCAGTTAAGTTATTGATTTCGGTATGATCGGTATATAAAAATATATTTCTGAATTCAGTCAAATTGTTAATATTGATACTGTATACTAATTCTTAATTTCTATGATACCTATGTCATCAAAAATTATATATAGTTATTGCATACGAAGTATGCAATAACTGCTGTATTTTATGGGCGATGATGGTTGGTTGGTAACCCAGCCGGTACGGCTGGGTTACCGAACGATCAGAAGAGAACATAAAATACAGCAGTTAGTGCATA